GCGGGGACATGAATAAGAAATACGATGCCAATATTCATCTTTTTGTTTAAATGTTAGTGTTCATATCTTTGCATTCCTTTGCTTCTCATTTTCTTTTTCATTTCCACTAACAAACCTTAACTCTCTTTGCCCTTTCCCTTCACAAATGCCCCACACCTGCATGGCACCCACATTTCCTGTCAGTGGTAGAGCTAGTGATTGTGTTGTAGGTGAGCGCTCGCCAGGTTTGCACTCTTCTAAGTTGAGCTCCTGGGAAGAGTGCTCCTGGGAAAAGTGCTCTTAACCGAGGCTCTCAGGCCATGGCTCTGGTGCTCTCACACTTGCTTGCCAGGCCCCACACTTCAGTCATGGTACCCAGAGGGGTGTGTGCCCCTTCTGGGCAGGAGGTGGGTCACACCTGGTGGTGCTCAGTTCTTCTGCCTGGCTCTTCATCAGGGGGTCACCCAGCAGGGCTCGGAGGAACCCATGTCAGGCCAGGGAACCAACTGAGCTTGGGTGTGTGCAGGGTAAGTGCTTTCTCCTCTGTTCTCTCTCCATCCCATAAACACATTATTTTGAGTAATGTGCTACACTTTTTTTTTTACCATTTCCACTTCACAGATGTGTGATTAAAATATCACAATACATAATTTGATTCACGAAAAAGGGGATTCTACGTGGCTCTCCTCAGAATGTATTTGTCCTATAAAGGCATGTCTGTCCATACTCAGGTGTCCTTGGATAAAATCTGAAGTGATCGGGTGTGTCTTGTGTCTTGCCAGGGATTTCAAGCACGGGGGGGGGGGGGGGGGGGCGGGGGCCGAGGCATGGTGGGGTAGGGTTGATCCTTCCACCCTCTCTGCCTCCATCCTCTCTGCCATACAACTCCATTATTCTTTCTAAGGACTTGCTTCCGAGCTGAGCCAAATCTGAGCCAACACATGATGTTCCTTACAAAGCAATGAGCTGTAATGAATGCAGTCTGGCTGTGCCCTGGGCAGAGAGATGGCTCTTGCCTGGAACGAAGTTTCCTGGGAACTTCCTAGTTGGACTTAAAAAGACATAGTGTTCTAGTATCCATGCTACCACCAGAGTCATCTTCCCTCTGCCAGTGTTCCCAGGTCCTCTCCTACCCCAACCCAAACCCCTGCGCAGCCTGCTGACCTTTTTGAGTTTTGTTGTTGAAATTTGGATCTCTGGTTTTAATGTTGCCGACCCTGTGGTTTGTATATCAGCTGGCCCACTCCTCTACACCACTGACACACGTGGATCCCTTTGCCTCCTCCCCTCCCCCATGCCCTGCTTCCTGAATATCTCTTCTCCCTCCCTATACTTCTTTCCTTCTCTTCCCTCCCCCTCCCTATACTCCCGGCCAAGGGTGATCTAGGCACCCCTCCTTTCAAACATTGCATTCTCCTGTCCAGTTATTCTATACACCACATGTGAAATCACCCTGTGTTTGTCCTTCTGGCTTGCTTCATTTTAAACGTTGTCCTCCGGTTCTCTCCACATTGCCATAAATTGCAGGACCCCATCATTCCGTACAGTGTGTAGCATTCCATTGTGTCTATATGCCACATCTTCATGCCCGACTGGTCTATCATTGGACATCCAGACTGAATCTGGGTTTTAGCTACCATATCATATCTTGCACTAAGTGAATAACGATGTGGAATGTCTGTTTGAATGAATGTTTCTGTGTCCTGGGGTAGATACCCAGAAGTGGAATTGCTGGGCCATACTGCAGTGAATTCGTAGTTTACTGCAATATTTCCATACTATTTTCCATAAGGGTCGAACCAGGTGACACTCCCACCAGCAGAGTTCCTTTTCACCATGTCCCAGACAACACAGATGGGTGAACTTCCTAGTTTTGGGGTCCCTCAGGAGAGAGCTTCATATCCACCAGATGTGGGAACAGGCCCACACACAGCAGAGGGCGCCCCAGGACAATGCAGAACCCCAAATCAGTGGTGAATGCCACCATGACTGGTCCACAGGACTCGGTATATTTCAGATACTTACACAGAAAGGTGAATTTAACTCACCATCACTCGAAGAAAAACTTAAGCGTGATTATGGAGGGGAGGTGAAAGTGATTGCTAGCTGAGAATAACAGCAGCCAACACCTTATCTCCTCCCGGGTGTCCTGCTCTCTGGTAAGAGTTTTTGCCTTTATCATCTTGAAATCGTTATCAAGTTAGGGGGGTTCTTAAGATTGGCACTATCCTATGAGCAATGAGAGTGTGTGTAAATGAGCCAAGGGAATGTTGGGGAAGAAACAGGGCTTAAATCTACCCGAGAGAACAGAGAAAGGAAGAATACGACGTTTGCTATTTGCGTGGGGCCTCTGTCTCACTCCTTTGTCAGCTGGTCAAGGGTGGAAAGAATCCTGCTCTGGAATTTCAGCGCCTCATCTCAAGAAACATCTCATGGATGAAGTGATCCTGAACAGTGAGTTCAGGGAACCTGAACAGTGAGTACATCAATCTGTGCTTTTCAGGCAGAGGGAATAGCAGGGCACTTCAGTGACAAGACACAGAAGCTGGAGCATCTGCAGTGTGGACCAAGGCATGCACCTCACTGTACATACTTATACACACACACGTGCACAGAGAGAGCAAGAGAGAGAGAGAGAGCATGAGAAGATGGGACAGATGGAGAGAGAGAGGGAGGGGCAGAAGGAGGAAGATATTGGGGGATGTGGGGGGGGTAGGTTGAGGTAGGAGTGGTCCATGGGCATAGATTCATGAGTAAACCCCAAGCACTGTCAATGTGTCCTCTAGACAAATTCATGGACTTGCAGGACCAGGAGTGGCTTTGTTATGCTGGCCAGGAAGCGATGTATGGATGCATTTCTTTCTCTCTTTTCTTTTTTTTTTTTCTTGGGCTACACCCAGCAGTGCCCAGGGATTACTTCTGGCCTGGCACTCAGGAATAACTCCAGACAGTACTCAGGGGACTATCAGGGATCCTGGAGATCGAACCTGGTCAGCTGCATGCAACGCAAATGCACTCCTCACTGTACTATGGCTCTGGCCCTGCACTTCTGACAACAGTCCTGGGCTTCCTCAACCAGAATCAGACCAGAGACCAAGAGACACTGTTTGGAAGAGAGAGTATTAAAATCCTCCTGTTTTTCAGAGCTGGCACCTATTTACATTTCTTTCCAAGCAGATGAGGTGGTGAATTACCAGGCAGAAGACATTTCTGTCACAGAGACTCACGGGCAGTGCCCAGGAGCTGCTCTGAGGGGCCGGGGGGCTGCATGGTTGTGGGGCTTGTGTCTCCAGCATTTAAAGCCTGAACTCCAGCTCTGTGCATTGTCTCTCGAGGCCCAGGAAATAGTTTTTTCATTATAATAACAAGAATTGAGAGCAATATGATGATTTTTAGAAATGGTGTGTCAGAGAGTTTTCTTTCTACACTCCTGGGATGTATGTCAATCAAAGCAGGTCAATGTTTGGAGAACCTGGAAGAAGCTTGCTACATCCTCTCCATTTGAGTTGGTCAACCCCGTTGCTCAACACACACACACACACAAACACAAACACACTCACACACATCATCTCACACTCACAACCATCTTTCTTTTCTGGTCCTGAAGCCTTCTCCCCTTTTTTGCACCTGACTTCCTGCCCCAGTGAAATGCATCTTCCACAAAGAGGTGTGAAGGGAAAATCAAGTAACACAACAACAGCAGAGTTGGCTGATGTGGAAACAGAGAGAAGGCCCCACAGCAAGGAACTGCAGAACTGGGAGCGGAAGCAACAGAGCTAGTGTAAGTGCCACACACTAGAGACACGGGGCCACCATGACGAGGAGGGGGGGGGGGCGGTCACTATGGCAGGGAGGGCACAGGGCTCATCTGAAGCTGACAAGGGCCATCCTGCGTATGGGAACAGCTCTCCCCTGGGCAGTGGCTGCATGGCACTGACATGGTGATCTCAAGGGACAAGAACAGGGACAGGGACAGGGATGGGGACAGCGTCAGGGACAGGCATCTTCTTGTTTGCTCTGGATGCACAGTCTGGAGGAGTCCACTCCTTCCCTCCCACTCTTCAGAGAGGGCGCAGGGCATGCAAGGGATGAAGGAAGTGATGGTGGGAGGTGCAGGGGGGACGGCTAACGGGAATTGTGGGCAGCTGACCAGAATCAGGCATACAGGAAGCTCCGAAGAAGACAAAGGTGAATCCCATTCTTCCCTGAAAGCGCCTTAGGAAAGAGATGGCCAAAAGTCTCTGGTTGTAGCTGACATACTAATTCAAACCTGGTGACACTGAGTGACAGCTCGAGGTACCTGATTTACATTCTGTTCTGTGTCGGGGATTGACATTCTACCCACACACATATTTGCATATTCAGAAACTGTGGCGCACAAAAATATTCAAATGAAATCCACTCTGTGTTCCTGTAGAATGACGGGTAATTTATTCATATAACTGACAGTTAGGCAGTGCTCAAAATTCAGTTAAATAAGCCAGTGATTACACAAACATCTAATAATACTAAAATTGATAGTCAGAAGGTATAAAATACCATGGGTATGAAATGCCATGGTAAATACTATTCAACAGACGACAATCATAATTCCAAACAAAATCATGGTTTTTCAAATGGTCTCTTAGCAGTTGTGGAATGATCTGATTTTTGTCTCCTGGCCAAGCTATTTGTTTCTTCCACCAAGACAAGGCCGGTCTTTGCAAGACTTGGGATGGATCATCAGAGCCCTTGCAACACATTTCCTTTCAAATTGTTTTAAGAGTGTTGCTTCAACACTAAGAAACAAACGGGCAGCACTCTAAGTTACTGGGATCTGCCGAAGAAGCAGTAAGCCTGAGCAGACAGCGAAGACCTGGCCCAGTCTCTGAATTAGGTTTACATCTTCCCTGAGGCTGCATCATGACACATGAGGCCTCTATGCCAGTGAAAGGATGGCGATAAAGGAATTTGTTCTGGGGATAACTAGTGCGCGTTGGCAGCTGGGGGTAAGTTACAATTGAGTTCTGCGGTATGTCAAACAAAAGCAGTACTACCTACATTTGCATCTTGGAAGACTTGTTACATTTTTCCCGAAGCTCAGCAAGGTTTGCAGGAATGGTTTGGCTTATCATGTGTCTGTCTGTAGTTTTTTTTTTTTTAAGTCTTATACTTTATTGGAATGAGGTCCGAGCAGGAGCCTGGCTTACAAAGCTAGCTAGCAGTGGGAACCGTGAATAATATTAACAAATTAAATGCTTTCACAGAACAAGATTAAGCTAAGTCTCTCACTTACAAAATACAGCGAGGAGAAATACAGTTGCATTTTTTTTTTAAATGCTGAAGTATGAGGAGGGAGAAAAACAATCTTAAAAAAATAGAAAACTCTCTCCATACCTGGAGGGGGGGGTGTCAAGGCAAGATGTAACACTGCATGGTGCCGCAGGTGGCAGGCAGCCTGGGCATCTGGCTATCAGGACAGAGAGAGGAACACATGGAAAGGCATGCAGACGGTCACTGTGTGCATTCAGTGAGGACTGGGACCTAGGCGAAGATCTAACACGACAGCGAGGCAGTGTTTGGGGATCTGTTCAAACCAGAGCAGGTGGTTACATGTTGAGTAAACCTTCCGAGGCTGTGAAGTGTGGGCACAGGGCCATGTTGGGGTTCTGCAGTTGCTTCACGATCCTCTTGCGGAACTTCTCCCGCACACGGTTAAATTCCATGATGTCCAGCGGGTCTTCTTCAATCCAGAATTTATGAAACTCATGCATCAAGTAGCCTGGAAGGGAAGAGGCACAGGAGGCATGAGGGCATGAGAGGAAAAATGTTTTCCATCTCAATCAAAATCCCCCCAACTATGGAAAGAGATGTTAGGTACAAGGCAGCACCCAGGTAGCTCAGAGAACAGATCCCAAAACAGCAAATGCTCTTGGGCTCCTGCGTTAAAGTGTGCAGGTCAAGTTTTCTGCAAAATTTCTCAGGAGTGTTGGAATCTCTCCTTGAATTTTTCTGGACTCTTCTCCAGCTGGAAGAATTAATGCTGCCTTCTCTTGAGTACAAGTCATCTCTGGGGCAAATTCTGAAAGGGGGACAGGCGACTTCAGCCTGCGCCTTGTAACTGAATTAGCAGCATGGGTCGACTTTTGGAAACAACTCCACTTGGCCTGCTTTCCTTTTTTTTTTTTTTGGTCATACCTGATGATACACAGGGGTTACTCCTGGCTTTGCACTCAGGAATTACTCCTGGCGGTGCTCAGGGGACCATATGGGATATGGGAATCGAACCTGAGTCGGCCGCGTGCAAGGAAAACACCCTACCTGCGTACTACCACTCCAGCCCCTGGCCTGCTTTATTTTGATATTTGTTTTACCTGCAGTTTAAAATTACCTCAGCAAATCAAATGTGTTCTGGGAAGCTATTATGGGATAATAAACATTATTAATCGACTCAAACAACACAGACTGGCCAGTAAGTTACACAAAATTGTTCATGAGACTTCCTGGTTCTGAAACATAATTTCATACTCAAATGATTTTCAAGTCTCAAAGATGAGGTCTGTGCATGATCTATTTGGGGGTCCTCCACAGTAGTACTGAGTTTACCAAAGTTTCCAGAGAGCATGTGGTACTGCGATGAAGCCAGGGTCCTCTGCATGCCAGGCGATGCATGCCCAGCTCTTTAAGCTTCCCAGCCCTACACATGGTTGGGATTAGGAAAACTTAAGAAATAAATTTTAAGGGGCAAGAGCAATAGCACAGCGGGTAGGGCGTTTGCCTTGCACACGGCTGACCCGGGTTCGATTCCCAGCATCCCATATGGTTCTCTGAGCACTGCCAGGGGTAATTCCTGAGCGCAGAGCCAGGAGTAACCCCTGTGCATTGACGGGTGTGACCCAAAAAGCAATAAATAAATAAACAAATAAATAAGAAATAAATGTTAAGCATTTGATATGAGAACATGTTCATTGTGTTCTATTCCCCCCATATCTCTTTCACTCCATCTCATTTATAACTGAAAGCTGAGGTTTTTTTTAAGTCAACCTAGATATTTTTCTGTAGATATTTTTCCGGCAAGCTCAATTCTTGCAGAGTGTCAGAACATAAAAGAATCCGAACATTACACCAATTTTTCTTTGTCTTAACACTAGAAGAGAGCAAAAAGAGTAGGTAGGAACAGGGTATCTTGGGAGTCTGGCTTGACTCCTGGATGATAAAGCCATTGGGTTCTGCTTTCCCCACGTCGATGAAGAACCTGTTCTGAACACTGGTTTCCCGACCAAGCCTGAAGCATTTTCACTGTTGCCTGTGTGCCTTGCTTGACTGTGCTCAGTCAGCAGACAGCTTAGATGCATGCAGAGATGCAGAGAACTGAACGAACTTAGCAGAGGAAACAGAACTGGATCCTCTTGAGGGCAGAACAATGAATTGAGGGCACAGTTTGCTTCCTTGAGAGCCCAAGTCACTTGGCCCTGTCACAGGGGAATTGCTGTTTCCAAAAATCAGCCAAGGAATAATCCTTGGGGGCCAGAGAGATAGTAATGGGTAGGGCATCTGCGCACTGCCTAACTGGCTTTGATGCCCAGAATCCCATATGCTTCCGAGCCCACCAGGAGTGATCCCCCTGCATAGAGCTAGGAGTAAGCCCCAAGCAACCACAGGGTGTGCCCACTCCACAAAAGATAAAGAATCCCTAAGGGGGAGGAGAGTTTAATGGACCAAGTACAGGCTTTGCATGTGGGAGGTCTGGGTTCAGTCTCCGGTACTGCACTGTCTCTTGAGCACTGAACCAGGAAGATCCCTTGAGCACTATTGGGGACGGCCCCCAAATCAAAATAAGGAACAAAATCTTTGCTTGCTGGTTAGTATTTTTGACTAAATAAAAAGCTAAGAGTGATAGTACAGTGAGAGGACATTTGCTTGCTTGTGGCCAATCTGGGTCAATTTCTGGCATCCCTGAGCCCACCAGGCACGGTCCCTGAGTGTAGTGCCAAAAGAAATCCCTGAAACCACTGAGTGTGACCCAAAAAGAGAAAGGAAAAAGAAAAGTCAGCAAACATAATTTGGGGTCACGCAGCTGTCTTCAGAAGGCCATGTGCATCCTTACTGCCATGACATTCTGCATCAGAGCTGGAAAGACACAGATGGTGGCTTTAAATCTGAGCAGCAGCTGATACTCTGGACTTTAGGCAAGAAAAATCCTTGGTTCCTGAGTACGTCAGGTGGGCTGTTTTCCCCTCTGGAAAAGTCCATGTTCTCTCTTGACCATCTCTCTCTTCTCCACCCTCTTTCTTTTTCTCTCCACTCACATCTTTCTAAATTTCTTTAAATTAACACCTATTTTGCATCTCACACACAAACCCCAGAAGGACAGACTTTTGAATGAAGAAATAACAGCAACAATGAAAAAAAATCAGAAGCAAAGAACGAAGCTCAAAGGCTTGTACACAACTGGTGCGGGAAGGTGTGGCCCCCACCGACCCTTCCTAGGAGGCCTGTGGTAATGGGGATGTGGCTAGAAACTCACAGAACGTTTGCTGGAAGTGAGGCAGCGTCGGGGCTTCTGGAGCGATGTTGTAGAAATGAGTTTTCAGAGCTCCGCTGAGCAGGAGGTTATAGGCCAGGTCAGTGATATTGATACCCACAATGGCAAATGAGTATCTGCGAAGAGTAAATCACAAAACTGTGTATCACGGATGGGAAATAGGCATTTCCAAGAAAAAAAAATAATAATAATCTGATTTTGTTGCTATTAAACTGTGGCAAGTTTCCCTAGCAAAATCCGGAATTCTGTAATTTACCAGAAAAATTCAGTTATGTGCATCAAAAGAATTGAGAGGTCATAGAGTGATCAAAAGGTAATTTCATTTCCAGGTATGAGAGGAAAAAAATAATAAACTAACATAGCTTATATACAATATTCATTATGGCATTATTTATAATGGTAAAAACATGGAAATGATTTTAAAAGCCTTTTGGAAGGTAGTCAATTCAATCATAATGTAGCACTGTAGCACAGTCCTCCCATTGTTCATAGATCTGCTCGAGCGAACCCAGTACAGTCTCCATTATGAAACTTGTTGTTACTGTGTTTGGCATATCGAATACGCCATGGGTAGCTTGCCAGGCTTTGCCGTGCAGGCGAGATACTCTCAGTAGCTTGCTGGGCTCTCCAAGAAGGGCGGAGGAATCAAATTCGGGTTGGCCATGTCGGCCGAGTGCAAGGCCCTACCCGCTGTGCTATTGCTCCAGCCCCTCAATTATAATTATATCAAATAAAGGTAAAGGTAAAGGCCCTCCCGTTGATCGTCGATTTGCTCGAGCGGGCCCAGTAACGTCTCCATTGGAGACTTTGTTGTTACTGTGTCTGGCATATCCAACACTCTCGGTAGCTTGCCGGGCTCTCAATATTTGAAAATTAAAAAACCTATATTTCTAAAGACAAGCAGGATTGGAAATATTATGTATATAATAAGAAAATGCACATAAACTGTAGAATGAAAGGCTCAAGAACATTAATATAGGTGTACTTGAGTATTGAGATTGAAGAGTTTTTTTGGTTTATCTTCACATAATAAACTTTCCATAATAAATCATAGTTGTTGTATTGGGCATTTGGTCTCTGAACCACACCGGTAGGGCAGAGGCCTTATTTCTGGCTCTGTGTTCTGGGGTCTCTCCTGGAGGGACTTGGGACCCATATGCAGTTGACTACATGCAAAGCAAGCACCTGACCTGCTGTACCACCTCTTGGATTCCCATACAGTATATTAAAAATAAATATAAAACAGAAAATCTAAAGTAAATTTTTTATCTAACAGTCTGACTGTTGATAGAAATTCTTAGGAGAAAAGTACCAAACACAATTCTATATGACGATCTCTGAAAGTTATTTCCATATAGTTAGAATTCTCTGAATCTCTTTGGGTCAAAGGAGTATCCTATCATCATGCAAACGCATACAAAAACTCAATCCTTTAGGGGCTAGAGATACAGTGCAGCAGGTAGGGCGTGTGCCTTGCATGCAACCACCCCGAGTTTGCTTCCCCAAGTTTGATCCCCAGCATCGCATATGGTCCTCCCATCCCATCAGGAGTAATTGCTGAGTGCAGAGCCAGGATTAAGCCCTGAGTGTTGCCAGGTGTGGCCCGAAAACAAAAATCAAAACCCTGAATCCTTTCAACCCAACAGGATGACACATTTCCGTCAGGACAAGTGCCTTCGCATCCCTGCCCTTCCCACCATGCTCAGGTTCAGTGGTGGAGTGTCTCCGTGCAATCCCACACTTACCCGATTGCTTTATCCATCCTTTTCTTCTCCCATTCTGCTTTGCTGAATTTGCTGCAAAAATGAATTAATCCGATTTAGTCTCTAATTGGTACTTAGGCTCCTTTATGTTTATGTTAAAACTGTTGACTAGATGCAGAGAAGACTGTAAGGCAAACCGTACTCAAATGAAATGTTAAAGCCCAAATATAAGATATTTGGAGCCTGGAAATAAAATAATATAGGGTCAGGCTACTTACTACCTTTCTCTTGTACTAAGGCAGCAGGAGGTTGCCCTATAGGCCAAACATTCAAGAAATTCTTTTATCAGACAAAAAGTTGTTTTTTTTTTTTGTAAATCCCCACCCCCATCTCCACTTTGGACTCCCCATTGAATTTTATCTCATTTCATCTCAGGGTTTTTGTCCTACTCAGCCTTATTTGTAGGTCTGGCATACAAGAGATGCCAAATAAAATGTTTCAATGACAAAAAAAGAAGAAAAAAAGACTGGATTAGAGAAATAAAGGGAGGGAAGGAAGGAGAGCGGAAAGTGGGGGGGGGGGTTATAAATTCAGTTCTCGCAAGTGCTAACAAGCATTTCCTCTAGCCAAGCGAAATCAGCTGAACCAGAGCAATTCCATTTCGATCTGTTTTAAATTTGAGTTACTGAATAAGACTATTTGAGGAAAAGGGTTCTTTCACAGGAGCATTCTGGAAATACTGCGGCACATCCTCTTTCCCTATCCTCCAGCTTGTCCCCTCCATTCTCAGTCCACACTGCCAGAATCCTCAAGCAGAAACCAAATACCTCTATTCTTTGTTCCTTATGTAACCTTTGTTCAGTGTTTGACACTAAAAAATGTGACTAGCATTTAAAATTAAAAAATTTAGAACTGGGGCTATCTTTAGCTTTAGCTTCCTACTAAGTGAATTCTTCAGAAACACACTGCAAATCATACATTAGAAACACACAGAGAACACAGAGCACAAGCCCACAAAACCAGGATGCAAAATTAGTATTTAATTCTAGGTATCTCCTGCCCTGCAGTTGACTAGCTAGGATGCAAAGGAACCGCCTTCACTCCCATGAAAGATGGCACTGTAGCGCTGTAGCTCTGTCCTCCTGTTGTTCATCGATTTGCTCGAGCGGGCCCAGTAACATTTCCATTGTGAGACTTGTTGCTGTGTTTGGCATATTGAATATGCCACGGGTAGCTTGCCAGGCTTTGCCATGTGGGCGAGATATTCTCGGTAGCTTGCCGGGCTCTCTGAGAGGGGTGGAGGAATCAAACCCTGGTCGGTCGGCCGTGTGCAAGGCAAATGCCCTACCCGCTGTGCTATTGCTCCAGCCCATAAAAGATGGCACCCCTTTAAAAAGCATAACCACCGACTCACCAATCAACTGACCAGCCAAAGAGGCAGCAAGAGATTTTTATCTTAAAAGACTCATTCAAACTAAAACAAATTAGGTGTGAATTTAAGAAACTTCATGTAAGCATATTTACGAACACCTCTTCTCAACAAAACTTTCATAAACATATAGTATCTCCATCCAACTTGGAGAGCCTGGTAAGCTACCGAGAGTATCCTACCTGCATGGCAGAGTCTGGCAAGCTCCCTGTGGTGTATCTGATATGCTAAAAATAGTAACAACAAGTCTCACAATGGAAATGTTACTGGTGCCCTCATGCAAATCAAACCGGAGGATAGTGCTACAGTGCTACATAGTATTTCTATATTGCCCAATTAAACCTCTGCAGCACAGCGGTAGGGCGTTCGCCTTACAAGCGGCCAACATGGCCGACCCGAGTTCGATTCCTCCGCCCCTCTCGGAGAGCCCGGCAAGCTACCGAGAGTATTCGATATGCCAGACACAGTAACAACAAAGTCTCCAATGGAGACGTTACTGGGCCCGCTCGAGCAAATCGACGATTAACGGGAGGGCCATTACCTTACCATTACCATTACCAAAAAATGCCAAACCACCTTCATGCATTTGCTTATTTATAGGATATTCTGGTCCAAACAGAACAAATATCTCTCTTAAGAAACACACACACACACAACCCAATACACCCCACAAATTCATACACACAAAGAAAAATTGTCAAAATTCTATCTTTCAAACCTGAATCACTTTTGTCCCTCAAGTTACTCGGGGCTCAGTAACAGATGTTCAGAGAACTGTGGGTGTGGAATACAGCAGAAAGGCAGAGAGAAAGAGCTTTTTATAATGGCTCTGCCTTGTCTCACTGAACATCCAAAATTCTAAGAACAGAAATTACAGAATCTGTGCTATGCCACAATCAATACATCGATGAGGATGCTGATTCACATTCTGATTTGTATTCAGTGACATTTATCTTCAAGTTTTGAAATGACCAATACTTGAACTGTATCCAATCAGCATACTGTAGCTTGAGGGACCAAGGACTGTAACTATCTACCTGCTATTTCCACAGACATTCACGTCTCTTCTTACATATACACCCTCAAAAATCTCTCCCCAGTGGCCCATAAGGAGATAAAACTATGGCTCAGAGACAAAAGTAATCTCCCTTGGATGGTAAATCAAAAAAAACAGTTTAAGCTTCTGTTGATGTCCCAAGGACCACTTGGGGTTCTCTATGCCTGGCATCTCCTAGAAGTGCTTCCGGAGGCACTCAGCACCCACCAGTTTTCATGAGCTGGGGCTTCTGAAAACCTAGTGAAAATATCTGCCTGGGCTTTGACCATGAAATGGCACTGTAGCACTGTCCTCCCATTGTTCATCGATTTGCTCGAGTGGGCCCAGCAACATCTCCATTGTGAGACTTATTGTTACTGTGTTTAGCATACCGAATATGTCACGGGTACCTTGCCAGGCTCTGCCATGTGGGCGAGATACTCTTATTAGCTTGCCGGGCTCTCCGAGAGGGGTGGAAGAATTGAACCCGGCTCAGCCAGGATGGCCGCGCACAAGGCAAATGCCCTACCGTTGTGCTATCGTGCCACCCACCATGAAATGGATCACACAAGAATAAAGTGATGTTAGTGGTTTCCATCTTCAAATGAAAGTAAAGAAGATGAAAATTTAACCTTATACAAGATTGCAAATATAAATTTTGGATGTGTGGTGTAACTTGATAAAATGTAGCTGAATAAGGCTTTTAACATAAGAGTAAGATGGGAAGAGGGTCCTCACGTCAGCCTGATTCTAAAATGGAAAACAGTCTGATCAAGTTTTGGATTTATCCAACATTCAGACTAACTAGGAACTACATAGTAACTACTATGGGAAACAGTAAACCCGGCATCTCTAGTGGCAGACACATGGGGCATGGATGCAGGGCACAGGCGGGCAAGCTGGGCTTTCAGGGGAAAATTGGAAAGGGTTTCTCCAGCCAGAGGTGGACCCAGCTCTCAATGGCTCTCAGGCATTTATGCCAGGTTGGTCACTGTCACTGTCACTGTCCTCCCGTTGTTCATCGATTTGCTCAAGCGGGCCCAGTAACGTCTCCATTGGAGACTGTTGTTACTGTGTTTGGCATATCGAATACATCACGGGGAGCTTGCCAGGCTTTGCCGTGTGGGCGAGATACTCTGGGTAGCTTGCCGGGCTCTCCGAGAGGGGCGGAGGAATCGAACTTCGGTCGGCCATGTTGGCTGCGTGCAAGGCAAACGCCCTACCGCTGTGCTATCGCTCCAGCCCCGCCAGGTTGGTATAATCTGATTTTCCCACTCTAAAAGCATAGTCCAAACAAAATTAACTGTATTTGATTAAAAAGTTGGGAAATGATTGCTTTGTGAAAGATTTTTATGAACTTACATTTCCTTAAAATTCTTACCCATCTTATTCAAAAATAAATAAAAGCAACAAAACACAAACGCAAAGAAAAAATACCTTATTTCCTCTTTAGTGATATCTCTTCATGCAACCAGTTAAAGAAAAAAATTAAGGCAAATGAAAATGCATATAATTTAGGACAGAGATTAACAACAACAGCAACACAGCTCAGTAACACAAACTTTCTCAGTCGGTCCCTGATTGGCAGATTTTGCTTCTCCCCTCTACTTTCCTTCATGCTTACTGAATTATATCTTCTAGATTTTGCTAGATTCTGCTTGGAATCTTCTAGATTCTGCTTTCGCCCTTTTGCACATCCCCTCCTTAGCCTTCTCAACAGTAGGGAGGTTATCAGTCCCTTTAGTACATCCCTCATATCCTAGCTGAACGCTGCCTCTACCCCTGAGTGCTGAATAAGGACAGGAAGCCTGACCTATCTCACTGAAGAACTAGTTTGAAAGTGTCTTTGCCCATCCATCCATCATCCATCTACCCATCCCTCCCTCCCTCCCTCACCCCTCCCTCCCTCCCTCCCTCCCTCCCTTCCTTCCTTCCTTCCTTCCTTCCCTCCCTCCCTCCCTCCCTCCCTCCCTCCCTCCCTCCCTCCCTCCTTCCTTCCTTCCTTCCTTCCTTCCTTCCTTTCCATTCATTCCTGTGTGGGAGCCACACCCGAAGGGCCATCAGGACACACAGGTGGAGGGGTGGAGGGGGACGTGGAGCCAATGATCAAACCCAGATCCTTGTTGGAGATTAGGCTCATTCTCCCTCATCAGTGCTCAGGGGTCGTTCCCATATGGAGCCATATGGGGGGGTGGGGGATGCCACGACCTCCTGCCTGGGCTCTGTCCACTGAGTTGTCACCCTGGGCCCTAATATGTGCTCTGTTCTCAACAATTACCTGCATTTGGGGTGAAGAGAGTCGGAGAGGACTTGCTGGGCAGCTGCTGTGTCTCTTTCTGCAAAGTACCTGCATGAGAGGAAAGAACATGGTGATGGGTGCCTGCCACCCAGCAAGGCACTGAGATGCTGAGATGCATACGCCAGAAAGTGTCCTGTTACCATCCTCCAGAGAACAAGTAGCTTTTCATTACAGAATTGTACAATACAGAGATGATAAAAGAGTTGTGAAAACCACATTGATTTAGGAATGTGTCCAGCAGGTTTGAAAATGGAATGAATTATGATAGTCCCCAGAGTGTCAAGGATATTCTTATTAAGAAGGTCACAGAGGAGGGCCAGAGGGAGGCTCGTGAAAGGCCGAAGCCAGGATAAAGGGGGCTCAAAGGGGGAAGAGAGGAGCGAGTGGGGGGCAGAATGTCTGACATGGGCATTCTTTCCTGAGAGCAATCGTGGCATATTTGAAAACTGGACAAAACAGAAAATACTTTTGTGGGGCTTACAGACTTTTTTAAAAGTAAATTTTATTATTTTTTCTGTCACTTTTTATGCTTTTTAAAAGCTGTTTAAAAGAGTGTTTCCTCCTCATTTACATATATTAAGAGCTTTCTTTGAAAAGATATAAAGTCTTGTTTTAATACCCAGCTGTGTATTATGGGTGAGATGGATATTTACTTTTGTCAAGAGAGAGGCCAATAGTCTCTGCTGTCCTTAATCCATGCCAATCTCTTATATAAGCAACACCACCCTTGTCATTACAACTTATTCTTTTGTTTTTGTTTGGGGGCAACATCTAGCAGTGCTCACTTGTTATTTTGGACTCTGCTCAGGGCTCACTCCTGGATATACTTGGGGGGGGGGTCAGGGGGCTCGGACATGGTTTTGGGATTTATTTTAAATTTTATTTTATTTTTATAAAGTATTTCACAATATTTGATTGCATTTAATATTCGAACACCAATCCCACCACCATTATACCTTCCCACCACATATTTTGGATGTTTCTGCCCTGAATCCCAACCCCTGCCCCAAAGCAGAACCAAAATAATTTATTTTGTATTGTTTATTATGAATAAACTGCTGAAAATGCTCCAAAAACTTTCCTTAGAGGAAACTGTGAAGATTGTTGTATCTCACCCAGGGGCCATTAAGCTATCTCATAGTATCTATGAAATTACTAATATATTGTTAAAGGTTATTCTTACACATATATATGTAAGCTTCGTCTATTGCCTTGAGTTGGCTCCAGTAACGTCTCCTTCGTCCAAGCCCTGAGATTTTTTTAAAAAGTGCCATATTCAAGGCTCTTTCAGAGTTAGGAAAATGAGACCCATCATTGTTACTGGTATTTGGCATATTGGGTATGCCACGGGCAGTTTGCCAGACTCTGCCATGTGGACAGGTTACATTCGGTAGCCAAAGTTTGTCCAAAGTAGGAATGGGATAATAAGATGTCATAATAAGATGTTGTGCGGCCGCGAATGTGGCCGCGTGGTTCCGGGAGCTGGGTTTTATAGTCTCTGAGTCTTGGCCGCTGATGGGATTACACGGCGCCAGGGGCCAGTTGGTGGGTGTGACCCGTGCCTAATGGAATTTGGAGGATCTGGGTGGAGGATGTTCAGCTCCGATCCAAGTAGGCTTGGAGATCTCAGCCCCGGGACCCGCATGCCTTTGTTCCTCTGCTGGTACCTTCATGCATGTGGAGAGTGGCCTCAGCATGGTGGTGGCTGGTTCTGGAGGTCTTCGGCTGCCGGAGTATACCAGAGTATAAGCTTACATATACATATATCTGTGTATATGTATATGTATATGTATATGTATATGTATATGTATATGTACACATATGTATGTAAGCTATCAAGAGTAACGAGAGTATGTCCCCCACATGGTAAGGCTGGAAAGCTACCCATGACGTATTTGATATGCCAAACACAGTAACAATAAGTCTCACAATGTTACTGGACCTGCTCAAGCAAATTGATGAACAATGGGAGGACAGTGACAGTGATATATATGTATTTATATATATGTAGGAATATATTTCCCTCTAATATTTGTTCCTTCTACTTTAAACTCCATTAAATGTGGTATACTAGTCTTGGAGTATGAGTCGTGTGAGGTATGAAATGTCATACTTGGACTAGGTTGGACAGGAATAGGTTGACTCATGGGTGAGGCTTGGCCTGAGTATGTGGAGAGCGGCCATGAGCATGGCAGTGGTTGAGTCCTGGAGGTTTTCAGATGCTGGGACTGAGTTCCTTGGGGTGGGGAGAGCCTTACCTGACCCCTCTGGGGTGTCCAGAATGAAACAGTCTGGCGTGGGTCTGGCAACATGGCTATGGTGAGACATTTTATGCTCTCTTCTGAGAGAGAAGGACAATCTGTTTTTGGGATTTAAACCAGGATTGTCCACAGGCAAGGCAAGTCCCTTAACCCCCAAACTGTCTCTCCAGCCCTAAAATCTACCTTTTATGAGAGTTCATACTATATAATAATGTAGTATCTAAAACATTCATTGAGAAGATGGAAAAATCACAGTGGACGTGATTGTTAAGCTTTCTGAAATTACAAGAAAGGCAAAGAGTAGGGAAAACGAATGCCATCACAAAGGACTGAGTGTGACTCTAAGAAGAGACAGCTCTCCTCACCAATATGACAGTACCCAAGGGCATGACAGCTGGCTAAGAAAATAATTTTCTTAGAAAACAATGACAGCAACAATTCAAATTTAAAAATAAAAAATGAGCATAATAAGTTGATCATAATACCATCACAGGCAATTAAAATGATATTTAAAATAGCAGTGGAAAGTAAAATAGCAGAAATCCAAAACCAACATATAATTCTTGAACCCAGCTGTAGAAAGCAAATCACTTCACAATGCTTTGTCAGCATGTCTGATTTGGGGGTGGGGGGGTAAACTCTAAATAATAGTGGTGAATCTTTTATTGAAACAATGAATCTAATCAAAGCAGATAGAGTGTTAACTAGAATTCATCTGCCCCACAGGGACTGGGAGGGGTGGGGGGTGGGATTTTATTGGGGTTCTTCATGGTAAAAAATAAGTTTTGGTAAAGGGAAATGTGCTTGATATTTGCATGACTGAGACCTAAACCTGAAAGCTTTGTAACCTTTCCCATGGTGATTCAATAAATAAATAAATAAATTTTTTAAAAAGTTGGCAATAAAAAATAAAATAATGTAGCAAAAATGTAAAAAAAAATAAATAAAATAGCAGTGGATCCACGAAGGTCTTATAACCTCCAACAAGGAAATCAGCAAACCAATCCCCCACCAATGAAATCTGGCAACTTATTTGATGGAGCATCTGTTCTACCTTTATTTTAAAGAAGTCAAGTAATTGTAGTCAGCAACAGAATTCCAGATAATTGTGGAAGAAAAACAGAACTGGAAAAATAGTTCTACACAGTTAACTGTATGTACATTTAACTAAGTTCCTTGAGCTCAGGGATGCTCCGAGAAGAGGAATGATAAGATGCAGGGTGGAGGGGACCCCACTGCTCAGAGGGACGCAGCAGTCTCTCAGAGACCTAGGAGAGGTCTCCTATGAGCCCTCTTCAAGTCTTCCTGATACTTCCCATTTGGGGTACACTTGGGGGTGGTACAAATGCCAACACAAATCCAGACCCTGGGAGCTCTTACTGCAATTGACCTGAAATCTTTTCCTAGTTGATGACAGGGGAGGGAAGAGGAGGAGAGGGCGGTCATTCTACTGAAACGGATGAGGGACATAGCAGCGAATTGCAGGGTACTGACATAGTATGGGCTGGATTAGAACACACTGGCACTGAAAAGGTGTTTGGGAGAGAACACGGATGTTTTAGGACAATGCAGGGAAAGGTGAGGGTGTGATGAGCATCAGTGCAGGGCTTCCCTCTGGCGTACTTCTACCCCCAACAAGGTTTCCAGAGCTTGTTAATTATGGAAGCTTTGTGTTTAGCAGAAGATTTTCTTACAATCTCAGTTTCTGTATATGCTTAAAATTTTTATATTAAAAAACTACCAATAATACGGTCTTTTTCCACTGCAATGGAAAAACTGAATTATTAGTTCCAAAATCCACTTTATAGAAGCCTCCAGAAAATATTTGAATTTCCTGAGAAGTAAGTAATTTGGGTTCATAACATTTTCAAAGCTATTATTACTTTCCTTTTATTTTGGCAGCCTTCATGGATCTTTAAAAACAAATCTCTTATGTCAATATCGAACCATTCTTCGTTTTACTTACTGCAAATTGTATAGTCCCAGAAGGCCCATTCCTCGAAAATCTGTTTTAGGATCATCACCTTGAAAACCAATTTCACACCATTGCTTAGAAACCCTAGATTCCAGCGGTGTATTAGGCTTCAAAAGTGTCCATAACTGGGGACAAGAGAGAAAATTAGCCTGTTGATACACACACACAAAGACACACACACAGAGACACATACTCACAAACACACATACACACACAAATGTCCTTTGCAAAAAGTTAATGACTCCATCAAAAAACTCCTGGAAATTATAAACCTAGATAATAAAATAGCAGGCTACAAAATCAATGCACATATTTCACATAAATTTCATATAAATTTCTTTTTATGTGCAAACTGATGCATATAAGTACTAAGTACTAGGAGTCAACCTAACCAAGGAGGTAAAAGATTAATTTAGTTAAAAAGGAGTTAATTTACCTTTGGAAATGAATTATAATTCAGTTCTGATAGTACTCAGGGTCATACGTGACTCTGGGTATTGAACCCGGGATAGTTGTGTGCAAGGCAAGTGCCTTTCCCACTGCACTATTTCCCCAGTCCCAGATATATTTCAACTTTTTTTTTTTTGCATTCTTTGTATTTTTTTTCCCCCTTTATTTTATTTTATTTTTTTTAAGTTGTAGATTTACAATTTTTTGTGCTTTGGTTTCAATTATACAATGATCAGATACCCATCCCTCCACCAGTGCCCATTTTCCACCACCATGGATAATATCTATATTTCAACTTTTAAATGGCTTATCCCATTAGTTATAGATTTTAAAGTTCAACACAACAACAATACATAAATATATTTTTTTGGGTAGGGAATTTTCACATAGCTAGCAGATATAAAATATAAGACTAACAAAAATATTAACCAAAAGAATTGTGATTCATAAAAGGTTATCTTAGGCATGAACCCCAAATAAGAGAATAAGAGATTATTCAAATAAGAGAAGAGAGGAGGAGGCTTTAGCAGAATCGTCCATTTGAATGGGCAGAGCTACTTGAACATAGAGTGATGTTTTTATCTTGGTTAGACTGTCACCCTGGCAGACTTTGTATTTTTTTTTTTTGGTTTTCAAGGGACTTTATTCTCTCCCCATCTATCAGAAATTGTGATGGAAATTTTTTTCCTTTAATTTTTATTAGTGAAACACCATGAGGTACAGTTATAGACTTACAAATTTTTGTGCTTGGGTTTCAGTTATACAATGATCGAATACCCATCCCTCCACCAGTGCCCATTCTCCACCACCACCAGTCCCAGTGTCCCTTCCACCCCCCTTCCCCCATCCCCTATCCCACCTTACCACTGTGGCAGGGCATTCCCTTTTGTTATCTCTCTCCTTTTGAGTGCTGTGGTTTGCGAAAGAGATATTGAGTGGCAATCTTGTTCGGACTATGGTCTACTCTCATCACGCATTTCCCATCCTGAGAGGAACCTCCCAACACCCTTTATTTGGTGCTCCCTTCTCTGTCTGAGCTGCCTTTTCCCCTAGCGTGTGTGGTTGTCCTCAAAGCCATAAAAGATGAAGCCATGAAATTTACATACAAGTGGTACTACATGGAAAGTATCATGCTAAGTGAAATGAGTCAGAAAGAGAGGGATAGACATAGAAAGATTGCATTCATCTGGGTAACATAAAGTAACAAAATAGGAGACTAACACGCAAGAATAGCCGAGATAAGTACCAGGCGGATTACTCCATGGCTTTGCAGACTTTGTATTTTATCCCACAAACAGTAAGTAGAAGTACTGGCACTAATCATCTATTTTACAAATCAAAGCACTGGATTATATGACAATAGACTGGAGTGACAGCAGGCTGGAGTGATAGCACAGGGTGTAGGGCATTTGCCTTGCATGTGGCCAACCTGGGTTCGATTCCTCTGCCCCTCTCAGAGAGCCTGGTAAGCTACTGAGAGTATCCCGCCTGCGTGACAAAGCCTGGCCAGCTCCCCATGGCATATTTGATATGCCAAAAACAGTAACAAGTTTCATAATGGAGATGTTACTGGTGCCCGCTTGAGCAAATCGATGAACAACGGGAAGACAGTGATACAGTGCTACAGACACCCATGCCAGGGTCCAAACTCTCCATGTCTGTCGGTTAGCCTTCTGCTAATTCTTTCTCCTCTCTTCTCTTTCGCTCGCCTCTTATTTCCCACCTTAGGCCTTTCATTGAATTCCACTACATCGATCAGAAAATAAGGGGAAAGGGCAGGAAAGGGCAAGCAAAGCCCAGTCAGTAGGTTAGGAGTGGAAGAGAAGAAAACTAGAGTGAAGAATGAAGTTTTTTTTTTAAACTTTTAATGATTCATATTGACTCGAGTACTAGTTAGTAGAGGCGAATGACTCACCGACTTAAGTACTCCTATACACCAAAACACACCCACCTTCTCGCAAAGACACACAGAACACATTTAAAAAATTACAGCTTCTATTGACATTCTTCCATACAAATAAAGTGAAGGTGGCTAAATAAAGGTTTTCTTCCAGCTTTGTTACTGTTATTGTCTTTCTGAGTTCTAGGAAAGGACAAGGAAGCAATCCATCGTAAGAAGCACCTCATTTTAGAATTTATAAAGCATTTCAGATACTGGAGGTTGATCTCAATTTTCTAACCCAAGCATCAGTATTCTGAGGTAATAGTTCTAAACATACTCTCACAGCATATAAGATCTTTAAAATTTTTCTCTGAAAGCCAGAGGAGTATTTATAACTGCATGTTATTCTTCCCAACCATTTTTAACATACCAGACATAAACCTTTCCTTCCTCCTCTAATACTCTCCAAGTTACATGAATAAATAATCAGCATTAAGATCTTGCATAATTTCCCAAGAGAGCTATTGCTGAAGCAGCAACCAACTTCATCTTCTTTGATGTCTATCGAAAGGAATAAATGGAAACCCCAGGTCACTCTTTGACGAATGCTATTTCTTTTATTGGCTTTCAACACAGTTAAACAATTTAAACCTGAACCAAGTGTGACAGTGCACAGAAATCCCCTAGGAGACTGCTCCAGGTTATGAAAGAAAATTGGAATTACATTCAACTCCTCCCTTGAATTTTCTCGTGGAATTTCCAGCTCCAACATCAGAACCAAAAGAAAAGTGGGCTTTCCTGAAGGGCCATGCGTAAAAAGAATCTCATTTTTTTTTGCTTTTTTTTTTTTTTGGTCACACCCAGTGATGCACAGGGATTACTTCTGGCTCTGCACTCAGGAATTACCCGTGGCGGTGCTCAGGGGACCATATGGGATGCTGGGAATTGAACCTGGGTCGGCCGCGTGCAAAGCAAACGCCCTACCCGCTGTGCTATTGCTCCAGCCCCTCAATTTTTTTTAAAGTGAACTTTCCCAGTCAGTTCTAGGACTTTGTGTTTCATTTTTCTCTGCCTCTGTCATGCCCAGCTATGCACTGCCTGGCACACAGCAGGTGCTGACCCAAGTGATGGCCACCCCATGCTCCAGGACTCACTTTCAGAAGCATTTCTTCATGCTGCGGATTTTCAGAGTCGTACGGTTCTCTGCGCAGTTTTTCCACTTCTGCAATCAGGTTTCTGTAACCAACAATTTGCAGGAGGCAGGCTTGAAGGGAGATGCCCAACCTAAGGCACAGAAAGAAACACACATGAGGGAAAGCCAACATGTCCTTTGCATTTGTTCATGTGAAACAGGCCCCAGAGCTTGTTCGAATGACATGCCCCTGAGGACTTCATGGGGATGCGTCAGTTCACGAAAAGCTTACTTCTGACAGCTGTGGAACTCGGATAGATTCTCCCCATTCTGGACTTTCCTTAAGCTGGGTTGCAACAATAGGGCTTAGCAACCAAGAGCATGCTGTACGCTGGTGATTTAAGGACAAGAGGTAGAATAGAGAGGTGAGACTATGTTCTTGGGGGACCAGCTGGCCCTTGATGGTGGGTGTATCAGAAAGGCTTCAAGGAGCATGCCCACTTGTTCCCCTCCCCCCCGTCCTGCCTCTTTACTGTCAAATAGCAGTGCTTTCTTCCTGGTTCATCTTCAGGGTTGGTTCTCTCCATTTTCTCACACAGGGCTTGGTGTTGAGATGTTTTGCTAATTTGCTCCGTCTCTGAGCAGACACTTTGAGTCTTGGTCCCCTTAAACCAACCACCCAACAGAGAGCAATATGGCTCAAGGAACTCATGAAGCACTGCCTCAGTTTACAAGCAAAAGGCTCTCTCTCCTGCCTACCACACAGAAGGTGAAGACGGGGTTCAATCTTACATGTTAACTAAACAGGCAGCTGTTTAAGGAGTTATCAACAACACTGCTTTTCCTTTTTCATTTTCTTATGGGCATCCCAAGCTGGACTCAGGTGGGGGCTTCTGTGTTCTCAGCCAGTCAAGCAGGGGCTTGAGTGCACGAATTTGAGGCGGGAGATGCTGGCTGGTCTTTGAAGTGGGTGCCAAGACCCTTGGACCAGTGCCATAGGGCTCCAGGACTGCTCCTGGCAATGCCCTGACCTGATTTTTTTTTTTTTTTGCTTTTCAGGTCACACCCAGCGATGCTCAGGTGTTACTCCTGGCTCTACACTCAGGAATTACTCCTGGTGATGCTGGGGGATCATATGAGATGCTGGTGATCAAACCCAGGTCAGCTGCATGCAAGGCAAAGGCCCTACCTGCTATACTATCACTCCAGCCTGACCCGATCGTGTTTAAAAAGTGAATCACTATCTGATATCTTTTCCTCCTAGAATTGTGGGATGACATCTTAAAGCCTAAAAGGGATTTTTAAGACTTATTTATTCCTGTTCTTTTTATAGTCATGTGTAAAATGTGCTTACAAAGTCAAAGGGTTCAACCCAAAATTAACTGTCCAATCTACTCCAATTGCTAATTCACTCACTAAATTGGAACAGTTCTCTGCGGTGTTTTATTATAATTCTGTCGCCTGCACAGCAAAGCCTGGCAAGCTCCCCGTGATGTATTCGATAGGCCAAACACAGTAACAAGTCTCACAATGTTACTGGGCCTGCTCGAGCACATCAATGAACAACGGGAGGACAGTGACAGTGACAGTGATGACAAACTCAAAGTCATTTTTGGGGGAGGCAGCATATATGATACCTAGAGTTAAATCTAAAGTTGAGTGCATTAGACCATTATATCTAGGATTGTATACTTAATACAAACATGAAGTCAGGTAACTCAGAATAATAAACTGAAATAAAATCAAATATTTAACTAAATGGCCCTAAGAATTATTTTTTCAATCATAGTGCCAAAGTTCTAAGATGTGTTTAAATTTAGGAAAGGAATATTTATTTATAGTGGCACCTGGTCACCCAGAAAGTCAAAATGAAGAGAGCTAATTTGGAACGGGTGAAGACGGGGAGAATTAATGAGGAGGAGACGAGGAGAACCAATACTTTCCCCTCTGTTCTAACACTTCCCACAACCATAAGCAGAAGTTGAAGAAAATGATTAAAATATGTTAAGTTTAATTACGGGGCTGGAGCGATAACACAATGGTAGGGTGTTTGCCTTGCGCACAGCCGGCCTGGCCGAGCTGGGTTTGATTCCTCCGCCCCTTTCAGAGAGCCGGGCAAGCTACTGAGAGTATCTTGCCTGCATATATTCAATATGCCAAACACAGTAGCAACAAGTCTCAAAATGGAGATGTTACTGGGCCCGCTCGAGCAAATTGATAAACAACGGGAGGATGGTGTTTGTTTGTTTGTTTGAATGTAGTCATGGTTTGATAAACTAAAAATATTTATCTCATTCCTCACTCATTTTTCTTTTCTTCCCAGAAATCTAATTTTTCATTTAGTTTTTATTGTTGCTGTTGTTTTGGTGACAGGGATCAAATTCAGGGACTAATACATGACAAGCATGTGCTCTATCACTGAAATACATCCCCAGATAGAAAATGATATAATTTAACAAAACTACATGTTGGGGGGAAAAGCTACAATCTGGGCAAAAAGCTTTAAATTAGAGTGTGGAAACACATACCAATCCCTATAAGGATTTTTCTCCCCTAAAAGAAGTGAAAAAGAATAGCTAGCCACAAAAAAGGTTTCAAATTAAAGGAAACAAATTTGAAAGACTTATTAAAATCTAAACTAATCTCTACACATGATTATAACTCATCTAAGCACTGGTCTTTGACTTTTAATTCAATTTAATTGAAAATGAAATGCCTTCTCATCCCCTTCCCAGAGGAATAAAATATGTCAGCAAGTTTCAAAAAGACACTGCACAAAATAATCAACCTTTGATGGCTGCATAAGGAGAAGGTCGATCAAGAGCTGGAGTGGTGGGGCTGGAGAGATAGCACAGCGGGTAGGGCGTTTGCCTTGCAAGCGGTTGACCGGGGTTTGATTCCCTGCTTCCCATATGGTCCCCCGAGCACCGCCAGGAGTAATTTCTAAGTGCATGAGCCAGGAGTTAAAAGCAAAAATAAATAAATAAATAAATAGCTGGAGTAGCTAATACTGTGGCGAGAGATGGAAATGGAGTTTTGAACTGAGCGCCAGTGAGCTAATTCTTAGAATCCAGGTAGGTCTGTGCAAAGCACACTGGACATTTTCTCAATGGCTGCAATTAAGAGCCTTTCTCGAGGATAACATCCGTGTCTGCACATCTCAAAGGCATTTGATTGTCACTTACCTAAATCACTTCTAAATATATCTGCATGCACAATTTATTCTACAATATCCTTTGTCCCAGATTTTACTGAGAAATTCCATACCTGATGGGAACAATAAAGCTTTTTAAATGTCATGCTGCCAAATGCATTTTAATACTTTCAGTGTGAGTAGACTAAATTACCAAGTTCTAACGTCTTCGTATTCAAACCCACCTCTCTCTCCCACACATCTGTTCGCTTGACAAGAGCTGGCTCCCAGTACACCAGCCTTTCACGGTCTGAAGGAGCAGACCAAGACTCTCAAGGGAGCAGATCCAGACTCTCAAAGGAGCAGACCAGCTTGACCATATGTGCTCTGACTATGAGTATAGAACATGGGCGTCCTATGACCCGTGGATGCTGAGTGGGTGCCCCTTACTTCATCTTCCCATAGCAAGAGCTGCCAGCAAACTCTCCACGTATTTCAGGCTCTTGAGCATAGGTCATAAAAAGGCTAAAAAGTGGCTGCTATTCTCATACCTGAGAAATGCACCTGTTTTTCTTCACTACCTAAAAGTGATGACACCAGCCTTGGTTTTGGGGGACAGGGGAGGAGAGTGAGCACATGCGGGACAGTGCATAGCAGAATGGGAAGGATGAAGGGAATAGGTACAGGAATAGGCCGATCCACATGCGCTCTGTGTCTATAGCAGAATACACAAGATCTTACTGTGGGTTTATGTCAGGGTTGATTTTTTTCAGTTCCATGATGTCTTCTATGGTCTTCTCGATAGCATCCGGGTGAACACTCACTGCAGTCTGCAACAACTGGAAGACACATTTCCATCAATTCTGCTGCCAGCCTTGGTGGCACTCTAGCCTTTTATTTCTTTTTCTAATATTTGAATATCTTATTTATTTTTTAATCGAATCACCATGAGAAACATAGTTACAGAGTTGTTCATGATTGGATTTCAGTCATATAATGTGCCAACACAGGCCTGGTCTTTTATTTTATTTTTGGCTTTTTGGGTCACACCCAGCAATGCACGGGGGTTACTTATGGCCCTGCACTCAGGAATTACTGCTGGAGGTGCTCAGGGGGCCCTATGGGATGCTGGGGATCAAACCTGGATTGGCCGCGTTCAAGGCAAATTCCCTACCCGCTGTTTTATTGCTCCAGCCCCAGGCCTGGTCTTTTTAATAGGAGCGGCAAGTATCTGTTTACAGGGGCATGTGCAGACACTGAACTAATCTAAACTCAAAGCAAAATTTGGTTTGGTATTTACATTCTATTAAATCTAACATTTTTCAAAATGGAGGAAGTGCAACTTTTCTGATTAAGGCAATTAACATAAGAAGTCTTAGAAAGTCCATTTTCATCTGTGTCAGGCTGCTTATAAAGATCTGTTTTAGTTTTTTCCCTTTTGGATTTTGGATCATACCAAGTGGGTTTCGAGGGCCCCATGGTGGATTGAAACCAGGGCTTCCACATGCAAAGGAAGCACACAAATCCTTTGGACTATATATCTGCCTGACCCATCTCTCTCTTTTTTTAATCCAACATATATAGATCCCATTTTAATGGCCATTGTGTCTATGATTTAGTGAAATCTGTTGAGGGACAGTTTTATTTTATTTTATTTTATTTTATTTTTTTCAGAATAAGCACAAATATTCTTTATTTTTTTAACCATCATGGTTGAGGGACAGTTTTAAGGGTATTGAAATTAATGTAAAATTAAGAATATTTGGGAAAACCAAGTTTTTCTCTTTGTGCATGTTTAACGATGTGTCATAAAAACTAGCATAATGGAGCCAGAATGATAGTACAGCAGGGAGGGCGCTTGTCTTGTGCGTAGCTGGCCTGGGTTCAATCCTTGGCTTCCCATTTGGTCCCCTAAGCACTGACCTGAGTGATCTCTGAGTGCAGAGCCAGGAGTAAGCTCTGAGCACTGCTGAGTGTGACCCAAAAACCAAAATCCAAAACAAAAGAAACAAGCAAAACCCCAACAAACAACAACAACCAAACCCCAAGCATATTGGATACTTTAAGTTTCTTGGAAACTCTTCAGCAAAAGTTTATATTATGTGACTATTGGCAAAATACCAAAGTTAATACTGCTCTTTTTGTATGCTTTGATTTTGTTTTGGGGCTCCACCCAGCAGTGCTCAGGGTTGACTGCTGGCTCTGTGGACAGAGATCACTCCTGGCAGGCTCAGGGGACCATCTGAGGTGGTGAGGATAAAACCCCGTCAGTTCCATGCAGGGCAAGTGTGCTACCCAATGTACTATCTCTCTGGCCCCAACTCTATTTTTATTTTTAAGAAATATTTATTTTTTGATTTGGAAATGGATAAGAAGATCAAGTCAATAATAAAATAATAATTGCTTCTAAGTCTGCCTAAAATTCCACATATAGTGGCTGTTCTATTGTCAAAAGTATTATTATTTTTCTTCTCCATTTGCACTACTTTTTGTAGGCAATGGTATATTTTGCAACTCAAACTTGTTAATGTTCAATGATGGAGCAAAGCCTCCATGTGAAGAGTTTCTGGAAAGCAAAGAAATATTTTACTTACCTTATTTTTTGAATCCCTCAGTGATGTTTCTGTGAAAAACATCACACAAAAAATGTCATTTTAAAATTATACCTTACGAATGCTTTTCAATTGCTCTACTCAATGACAACACAGTATCCTCACACCCACCCAGCCTCCACACCTGCCTTCTGCTTATTTCTTTGTTTCACACTCACCGATTTTCATGGTTCTAGAAGCCCCCGGCTTGGTACTGTAACAGATTCGCTGAAGTTCACATCTCCCAGTCAGCTTCCTCATCACAAACTTCAGGCAGCGCCACAAACATTTACAATACAAGTACAGGCACACCTGGATCAACATTCTGTGAAAAACAAAAGACAGCACCCTTCCAGCAGAACTATGGCAGGGAGCAGAAGGCAGCCACCACCAGCAAGGAAAGAAGCCCAGGAGAAAAGCAACCATCAGACTTCCGGATTGACAAGCAATTCAGTGTTTCTGATCTCAGGCTGTTGTAGGCGGACAGCCACCAAGTCCATCCCTGTGAGGTTTGCGAGGTCAACTTATTCTGAACACAGGCACATCCTGAAGACCTTAGTCCAGGAGTCTGTCGTTCCGGCCACCGCCAGTGGGAGCACTGGCACCCTGTCTTTTACTGACTGTACCTAAAAACGTTTTGGAAATGAGTCTACACTGTGAACCAGAATCCCTGTGCATTGGAATGTGTCTCTCCCATGGGTAACTTCCTCCCAGCCTCTGAGACGGTCTCTGGAATGGCCTGGGCCTGGCTGGTCCTTCCTTTCTGGCCCCTTCTCAGGGCTTTCACAGGACCACTCTTGATTCTCTCTGAATCCCACCCTCTCCTCCTCCCTGGATGTTTTCCTTGAAGCTCTGTTCCTTAGATTGCCGGAAGCCTTCTTAAGAAGAATGTAGAACCTTGGCTCTCCTCAGAGGTGACAACCTTCTCTGTAGCGACCTTTCAAAGATTCCTCCATGACACGTTTTCTTGGCTACTGCTACAGAAAATTTCCTTTCATGGCACACCCTATTTCACTCCAACCCTACCTTAATGAAGGGTGGTCTGACCAGTCATGCCCTGAGGTATAATGCCTCTGCCACATGTGCACTGAAGCCATAGGAGCCAAGAATTATATTCCACCCTTCTTCTTTTTATACGACTCATTCCTCGGAGACAGGATTAAGTCATTACTTCCTATGGGGGTCATTTATAAAGATGTTTCTTTTTCTCGAGGGTTCACAGCTTCCCTTCAGCTTCCCCTGAGGTGACTCAGGGTCATTCAGATGAATTATAGTTAACTAATAGCCTGGGTGATATATGATACTGTCTCCGAAAATGAGCCAACACCATGATCGTGTTCCTTTGCTTAAATTGCTCTGGTTCCAATATCTCAAACAAGCTGCTGTTAAAAATTAAACAGGAGCAGCCTAACCTGTACAAAGACAAGGGGAATATCACAAAAATGCAAAAGGATCTGAGGAACAATGTAAATAGCCAACCCACTACACTAACAGTGGAAAATTCTGTAGGTGATAAAATGTTTGCGAAGATTTAATGTCATAATATTTTTTGTCATACAGAAAGTAGCTAGGAATAGGTATGGAATGATCTAGTTTTCCTTAAAGAAAGAAACCATTTTTGTAAAAAAAGAAAAAGAAAAAGAAGCCACTTTCAATGGCAACGTGAAACAAAGAAAAGAGACAAGTAGAATACATAGCAAAAATACATAAATTTTTTATAAATACAAAAAATATACAAAAATAAGCAGTAGCCTTTCTATATATTGAAATTATAAGTCACTTTTATTTTCTCTTTTGGCTTAATGTATTTTCACTTTTCCTATAATAATCACTGTATTATGTGCTTAAGGAAAAAAGGGAAAGCAAGAATATCTATTGAACTGTATAAAAATGATCATCAAAAGTCATTATAACAGTGCATATAAAATTTCTATGTGAAGTCAGAATCTGCAGAAAGGCAAAAAAAAAGGATTTAATATGTTGTAAAGTCTGAAATTAAACTGCTTTCATTAAATGTGTTCTAAAATCTCATAGAACATAGATTATCAGCTTCCCAAAAAAGGGCATCTAAAAATAAATTTAGAGAAACATTTCAATTAGTTGAGTGAGGAATTTTATAAAACCTCATCAAGTTCTCTTGAAAAAAGTTTTATATATTAGAGAACTATGCCAGAAAAAAATATTAAGTAATAACATACCTTTGCTAACTGGCCACCAGCCAGTTGGTAATGATATTAATTTTCAGTTGGCATTATTCCTGTTACTAAGTCAAGAATAAAAATTTTCCATGCTGTCTGTCCTCACGGCACCTGCGTGCAATTTTCAGTAAGTCAGACTGGGCAGCTCTTCAAATGAAGCCTTAGCTCTATGTCTGCACATCAGAAGGCCATAATTATTGGGTACAAAAATCTTCCTAGCAAAAAAAAAAAGGGTTCTGACCATTGGTTAGGGAGAATCTTTGTATCCATCCTTCTTAGGCTCCAAGCCACCAGGCCAAATTCTAGCTTAACTACAGCAAGTTTCTCCTTGCAACTTCTCTCTGGGGGAATCCTACACTAATATCATTTGTCTAACATAAAGGAGAGAAGGGGTTTCACAATAGCTCTTTCTGTTCACTTTCATGGTTTCCTATTTTTAGCACTGCCAAGGGTGTGGAAAGGGTCAGATGCAGCAATCCGGTAGAAACCCATAGGGAGGGTTGGGGGTGAAGCACCATCCCTATAGCCCCCACACCATGGGCTGTACCACATCCCTCTCCTGAAATCCCTTCACTGAGATCACTAATCAAGAAAGGGGAAAAATGCCCAATTCCATACAAAGTGACATTTGCACACTGCGTGCCACCCTTTCATGATTTGTAAGACAACTGATGATGCATTTTATTGTCCAAATTAATATTACCTTGGTCCTTGGTTTTCTAAGGGCCTAATAAAAATGCCCCTAAATATTTCACTTTAAGTCCAGCTTTCTCTGCTAAGTGCCGTGTCTTTTATAGGCCAGATCATCAGATCAAACATTGTCTCGTAAGATGTAAAAAAATTTCCCCATTTAGTTTATAAACCTGGCATATAGAAAAGCCTGTGCAAAGATGAAATTGTGTGCTTCCCCAGGCTTTGGAAATCTTATTAGTATGTTAGAAGCAAGCGCTAAAGGGTTTCCTCATGAAAGGGCCAAATTAGCAACATCTCAATGTGAGATGCTCCAGTGGACAGTGTGTACCATCAAATGTCGCGGGACTTTACTTCTTAGATTTTCAGACCTATTTAGATCCCGACAGCTGAAGCTTCCAGAGTAGGGCATAAATGGGGTGAACTACTTTGAGGGAATATGAAATTGGTTTGGCTTGTTCACTCTGAGAAGGAAGAAATGAAGAATGAGTCTTTGCACAGCATGCAGGCGATAGTAATCATACAGAGCTGCATATGTCAAAATTTCTAGGAGAACAGATCTTAACATTTCTCATCACAAGAAGGCAATTCTATAACTGCATAGGGTGACAGATGTCGACTACATTTGCTGTGGTCATTTCAGTTCATCTAGCATCATGTTATACATCAAGAAAAAAGAGATTTGAAAAAAGAGGAGATGGACTTTTAAATTAGGGAAGGAGAACAAGGGAAGAACAGAAAGGAGGAGAAAAGGAAGAAAGGAAGGAAAGGGGAAGGGAAGAGAAAGGAAAGGGGGTGTGGGTGCTTGTTTGAGCTCTGGATTCTTTTCCTCCTTTAAATTTATGTTCTATTTCCTTATGTTTCTGAATGCAAGCATTACTGAAGGTATCTCAAATGTCCCTTCAGACAGAGTGGTTCGGTCTTCTGGAATCCCACTCTTCCTCCCTGCTCTTAGGACAAGAACCACAGCTACAGCTTTCCCAGGATCTAAACCTGGAGTCTTCGGCCTTGCCCTCAGCTATGAAAAGGCAGGACACCTCTAGTCTATCACCTGGTTCTGTCAGGTAAGAAGATGCTGACCTGAACCCAGAGTCAAGGGTGTCAGGGTTCTCCTGCCTTTTTGCTTCCTGGTCTGAATCACAAAATTTAACAGGCTTGATTTTAATGAAGGTTTTTTTCCCCTGCTTCATCCCTCCCCTCCTCATAAGTTAGACTTAGTTTTGAGAGAAGATACTTATGAATGAAAAGATCAGTATAGTGTGAAGGAAAAACAAGCCAATTCTCAAGCCCACCTGGAGAAAATATTGATGTTTAATAATTTGCTGCACAGGGACTAAAGAGATAGTATAGAGGGGAAGGCACATGCCTGGCACGTGGCTGACCTGGGTTTGATCTACAGCATCCCATACGATTCCCGAGCCTGCCAGGAGTGATCCCTGACCACAGGGCCAGGAGAAAGCCCTGAGCACAGGTAGGGATGAGCCCAAACAAAACAAAACAAAAAATTAGGTGCCTAGACAGCAGAGTATGGGTTTGGGTTTTGAATTTTCACTGATGTGTTCTAAGGAATGATGGCAGGATCCTGAGAAAAACATCCTCCTGAAGCCGTGGTGGGCTGAGTCCTTAATAGGAGCCACTTCCCCTGGTTTTGTTTCCAGCATTTTCTGTGCTGCCATTTCTCACTCGGCTGCAGAATGAGGCTACAGCTGAGTTCACAGCCCTGTTCTCCCAGGAGGCAATTATGATCCCGTTCATTATTTAACAGGCATCCTTGAGCGTGAACCAGAATAGCTACCCGGTGTCAAATATTCACAACAGCTCATATCTGTGACCAATTAAAAGTGAACTCCAGTTTTGGGGGTCCCAGCAGGGGTGGGGGAAGCAGACTGCAGGGAGAGCCAGAGCGCCCGGTGCAGGGCAAGGGGCTGCGATACCTGCGGATCAACTACTCCATCCTCTTACTCGTGGGGCTCTTGTGTCTTCTTTGGGAACAGAAAGAGAAAAAGTGGCTTATTTTGGACAGTTTCAATGACTGCTAGTGAGAGCTAGCTCTTGCTTGAAGACGTCCTGCAATACATAAGAAGTGCATGCTTGGTGAGGAAGGGCATGGACAAGGTGACCCCAGTTCCGGGTCCAGAGGAGCACACTAAATGAGATGCGGCTGCTGACTTTCACCTAGGGAGAGACCATGGCTCCACGTCTCCTGCGTGGAGGAGATAGTTACTCTGCTGAAATTCCTCCCGAGGGACACAGGCTGTCCACTGGGAATGAATTTGTCACCAGTCTAGAAAGGACAACTGCCGAGAAAAAGCTCAGAAAGGAGGTGGCGGGAAGTTTACACAGGATCTGGGAACTGGACATCACTGTAAGGAACCAGTGGGGGGTCCCGTGTTGTCTCCAGCTCCTACCCCCACCCCTCCGGGACCCTGAGCTCCAG